CCAAAAGTTTTATCCTGGTTAAATCAAATATGCGATCTACAAAATTCTAGTAAATCCATTCCAGGTAGATATTTATAGCTTTCACAAAATCTACCACACGATTCGTCAGCGGAATGGAACTTCTCGTCTCAACTTACCATTATTAACACTTGGAACTAATCAAACAAAGACCATATCCGAAGTCGTTTCATATCGAACAAATAAATATTTAACAAGCTCCTAATCTCATTCATTTTCCCCTTGAAATAAAAACAAAGAAGAAAATTAAGCAACCTGCATTCACAAGCTCGATAGCTTCCTTCAACAATTTCATCGACATCCCAACACACTTAAACTACCTCCAATAATGGCTAACTAAATTCGGTAACATTTTAAAATCCATAAAACATAATCCACCATGACAACATATATTGGAATCATGACGAAAACAACATTATCTAACAGTAATAGGCTATAATTCACCCTCGATATGCCAGAAAATCCGAACCCAAAAGGAAACACATCTCGATATCAGTAGCGAAAGCCACCAAAAATAAATGTTACATTTTAAACCAGTGATTGTTTCAGTTGTTCATCAAGTAGCATGCATTATCACCTGCTTACTCCAGCCCAACTATTATTCGACCTACCAATATGACATTCGCTACTCCAAGTAGATAAATGGCATAACTCTCAGTAATAACAAATAAGGTATCTTCTATTTGTAAAAGATTAGTTTGCATAAGGACCATAATTAAATCAACAAATTTATTGTGATATACGAAGATTATAATGTACTTTCAAATGAAGCAGTTCTTTAAATTATTGAAATATCAGCGAAGGTCATCCAATAAATTCTATTTTTTATGCAGCATTTGAATTTGGCCCACGTTTTCTGCCTACTCCGCTAACAGCTATATTCACAAAGCGTCTGTTGTATTGAATACGACGAGCTGCTCGGCCTGAAAGCGTTAAATGAAACATACTGAAACAAGTGATCAGCACGCACAACTATGCAAAAAATACTAGCAGATATAGTCAACCAAAAAACGTTTCTAGCGCATTACTCATCAACGAAATATAAAATTTTGTAATTCAAATAGGAGAATTAGAATTAAAATCTTACCAGTCTTCTTCTTTTTCTTTTCCTGTTTCTCAACTTTCGGAGTTTGTGCTCGGACTTTTCCTGCTCGAGCTAACGAACCATGCACTTTGCCTAAACAAAATCATAGATTCCCAGCAATTTCGACTATTGAAAAGAAACATAGAGCGAGATACTAGCTAGCTTCGAAAATAAGGGGAGGAAAAAAGATGGCAACGTATCGTCATGAATAGTGCTAGAATTTTAGTGAGAGTCATAGAATGAATTACCTCCAAGAAGCCGGAATGAAACATCAATGTTTGCTTCATCACAGATTCCAAAATTCATAAGTGGTGCTTTGTCATCATCCAAAATTGTGGCACCATGCGTCAAAAGTGCGCCATCTACGTGTAATAATGTCTAAAAAATAAGAAGTAGAGGCTGTCATGGAACTGGTATTGCGTCTACAAGACTGATCATGTTAACTTATGTCATGTGTTGACTGATCATGCTAACCTTATGGAGTCTACACAGTAGATCGATAAGCCCTCGTTAATGTAATGAGAATTAATTCAAGTTTTTTTCTTTTCTTTTCATTTTCATACAATAACTGAGGCATCCATATATATCTTAACTGCTATATATCTTAATTTTAGCACAGGAAACGAAAAATCCCTTCTTCGCGACTCTCAAAAACTTTTTAAATGATTCTACATTTAGTATAACGTCCATGAGAACATTAAAATAGAGACATCAATCAAACATTGAAATGTCCATTAAAATGTCTAATCAATAATCCCTCCAAATTTCAAGAAAAAAGCCATATCACTCATTCTAGCCAGTCGCAGATCAAATCACAACATATACTCATAATAATGCCTAGCAATGAAAATAATGAAAATAACCGAACCAATTTTAAAACATCGAAAATACCTATCATCATGACAAAGAAACTGAACCTTAAGTTCGGCCACTGTAGTTGTTTCTGAAATACATATCGACCTCACTCCGTCATCGATCCCTCTCACAAAAATCTGCATTATTTGCAACTTTCTCTATTGGACAGTCCTAGCAATCAAGCAAACCTGCAAAAAAAGAGGTAAGGAGTTTCATTGCACCGGTTTCTCTCCCCAACATTAAAACGTAAAACGTATAGTAATCAGAAATAAACATCCCTGAATGATTTATCGTCTCTTTACCAAGGATCTAAAACAAATCCTGATATATGATGTGTAAGATACCGATCAACTATTTTGTATTCCAGTAGTGGCTGGCAGTACTGGTTAGCAGTACTTAGGTTATGTTGAGACAAAATAATATAGATATTAAGAAAATTTTAAGGTTAACCGAAGAACCTTTAAAGCATACCAATTTCAGAATTTTTGAGATAATCCGGCCCAAGGAGTTTCAAAATGGAATAAAATGGAATATGACCTCACAAACAGGTGACCTGATCTTACAACTCACCAGTGGAACCAGTTTTAAAACCTTTGAGAAGAGCTAACCACATACCCTTCGAAATATAACAATAGCTTCCACAATTCAACCTTTGACTGCGTAAACCACTCCCGATAATCTACAGAAATATGTCGCCTAACGTAAGCTATGGCACGACAATGGAAGTTCGCTCAAAATCTAGGTTAAGTATAACAAGCGGAAGAAGACACTAGAGCTTCCCTGAGAAACCTCAGATTTACCCCACTTATTAAATAAGTGCATCACCATATCGTAATTAGGGTACAAACTTCAAACCATTGGTCAAAAGACACCTTGTGCTACAGCGATGCGCTTTTGAGACTACATCGTTAAGTCACAGTGCAATTCGACGTGTCCATACATAATTCATCATAGCAGAGGCCCAGCACTACTAAGTCGGTATACAGGAATTAACTCTTCCGATAATCAACAAGTGGAGAAATATTATCTTCATATAATTGTGCACTAACAAACATCAGTATCTCCATGCCATTTCAGGTGTTGACTTAGAATAAAATGTCGGAAAATAAGCAATAAAAACAGAACTTCCCTCTATTTATAAGATTTGATGATCGGAATTATTTGTTATTCCATTATCACATATCACAACTTGATAATATAAATCTAGATGGTATATGATAGCTCATATGAAGGTTCATCATATAACATCAAATGATGAATGCAAAATGCAATCAAAGATAATAATGTGATCAAAAGTGATTTATGCTAATTCGTACTTAACAATAATTATATTTACAGTTATGTATAATACAAGTGATAGTAGTAATATCACTTTATAATATATATAAAATTAAACAACAATGTATTGCAAAGTACCTTCAAAATTAGAGAACAATATTTTGGAAAAACCAGAAAATTTTTATGAAGCTTACATAACAGAAATTGTTACGTAAATATTATGTTACACTTGCAGCATTATCTTGACACTATCAAAATTCCCACATCACTAGGCTGTACCCATATTAATCAGTAAGACATGACTTCTAAAAACGAAGATCACAATCAAATAATAGATGAGAAATACGGTTACTCACCGAAAATTACAAGTAATATCCAGAACTGACGTATTTGGACTTCATTAATTTTCGATTTCCTCTACAGCCAAAAAATTACTTTTTGTAATGCATTATTGAAGAGATTTGTTATCCCTGACAATACTAAATACATGATAATGAATTAACTTAATCTACTTAATCTACTTAATACACATAAATAGCTTTATGAACAAAATCGCAAACTACTTGCTTACTATGGAATAAAATAAGCCAAACTAGTGTTGAGGATTTCAAAACATATGCAAATTATCATATACTAAAGCTTTCACCGCAACCACAAGTACTCTTAATGTTTGGATTGCGAAAAACGAATTCAGAAGACAGACGATCTTCCACATAATCCATTTCACTACCTAACAACGTTAGCTGCGCTTTCGGATCAATCCACAAACGCACACCATCCTCAAAATCAACTTGGCATCAGGTTACAACCGATGAAGGCCATCATTTAAGAGAAGAAAAATTGCAGCCGAAGAAAAACTAGAAAGACTACATCCGCTCAAATCAATGGACAAATGTGCCTTACTGGCCACTCAAACACAGCATCACCTAACGTCCCATACAACTATATGCAATATACACCCCATGTCGTCGTGATAACTGTCAAGTAATTAGAACAAATGAAATTATAGAAAATTCACCCACACCCTAAATTACTGATTTAATTAAAATTGCAAGGAAGTCGTCAATACTCACCTGTACAACTTCTTCATCAAATTTTGCTTTATGTTGGGCATAATCCAATGTATACGTCAATCCATTACAACCACGTTGCCTTACGCTTATCTGCAACAAATATTTTTCATTCATCCTCCCGTAGTATGACTTTTTTCAACCTTATACTAGATAAACTAAATAACCTACGTTCGCCTGATTGAGACAACTTAAAGATCATCAAACTGCTGGATCAAAAATTTCCTCAAAATACTGGTTATTTCCTAAAATTAAATTTGCAAGTAACCGTATAAGCACTTTCGTAAAAAGCTAGAAAGGAAAGCGTCTTTTGCCTTTATTAAATTAAATTAAACTAAATTATGAGTATAACTTTTCTATAAAGACAGATGTATAGATTGCGAAAAATAACGCAAAATGATTTGTTACTCATTCTTGTATTTCATTTCCAAAAAAAATGATAGATTTCATGTCCATTACCGAACTCTTCCACGACTTCACAGTTATCCAGCTAAATCTCCAAAATATTCTTTCGGTTTACGTGAACAAACTTTCAGTATACCAGCCTTCACAATCTTTCATCGAGAATATCCAGTTGTGAAAGAAATAGAAAACATACTTTTAATGCTGCCGTTTCCGGTTGTTTGCTAAGCAAATATTTCACACGTTTCACAGCTTCAGGTGTTAACCATAATGCAACCTTCGATGGTATACCAGGACGAATTGTGCCTTTAATGACGCGAGCTGCAGTACTAGCATGTCGCGAAATCATATGCTTTGACAGCTTTTTACCCGCTTTTCGCGAAAATATTAATCTGGAATAATAAAATAATCTAGAAATAAATACATGGACTGAATAAGATGAACTGGATATGAAAAAAATTATTTTTGTAAGTTACCAGCCAAATACTATTAGCCATTATCACTCTTTTCAAATTATAAATATAAGTATAAAATTAAGCGCAAAATTAAAACAATCTGTAAACCTGGCTACGGTTAAAAAGAAGAGAAAAAGAAAAAAGAAATTCCAGAAGGAATAAAAAAATCTCTTATGAATAATATTTCCCAAGCTAACGTTTCGTAATTTGCACCACTTCCAGTTTTAGGAAAAATGAACAAATGTTATGTATAAAATAGAAGGAACCTTCATTTTGCCATTGAACAGTAATAAAAAAAAAAAGTTTATTGACATAGTTTTCATATATTACAGTTGGAAACATATATAAAAGTTAACCTATTTTCATTTTGTCAGAGAATAAATTAATGGCAGAAAACACTCTTCTACCAATAAAAAATATTAACAAACTCTTCGTTTTGATTCACTCCACGAAAAATTCAAAATATATGGTAATCAGCTCATACTCAAAATATATAGTATAATTCCTTGAGATAAAAACAGGAAAGCTGCGCATCTCGTAAGGCAAGACATTTCAGAAAAGATGATCACTTATACACAAATAAAAATTCAAAATGTTTGGAATGGAAGAAGTACTCCAACAGGCACACTGCTTCTATTTCCGTATTCATCATATTCAATGGTACACATATCAGCTGGACCCATTGCTATCAATGTTGATGGATAAAACTGCAAAAATCAGGAACTGACTACTTTTAACAATGAATAAAAAATGAATACTGATTGAAAATATAATCCTCGATGGTTAAACCAATTAATACTTCCAATGAATTACATCAAATGCTGAACAATTATTATAACGATCGATCTAGGTGTTATGTTCCATCAGGTATTTCAATATGTTGCAGCATGTTGCAACATGTCTTATATATCCCAGATGTTGGGAAATTTCAGTCGCAACGACTGATGAATTATTCAACAAATGAGTTACCAATAAAATCAAAGTGGAACCCATATGCTATATTTCAGAAATATAAACGAAGAATAAGAATGAAATGTTTGAGTCTTGACTTTCCAAGATCATTTTTAATGGAATCAATTTGATTCGTTTCGGAAATGTCTTCCGTCGCTAGTAATGAATGTAATTTTAGTTCATACTTTGCATTTACACACAAACTCTAAATATAAGAAACAAAAAAGTATAACGTAAAGCAAGTACTTGGCCATCACTCCACGGCGCGAGGCACTTGTCGCCAATTTTCCAAACCGGTGGCATCCCACTGTTCATTACTATATTACTGAAAGGTTGCTGCTGTTGTTGCTGTTGTTCGTACATTGGCCGATAAACTATATTCTGCTGATAACCAGGATTTCTAGTTCCAAAAAATACAGTTTGTTGTGGAATATTATAATCTTTATCATTTGTTGGTCCATTATCAACCACAGAAAGGCTCAATGCCGATAATTCTGTAAAGTGAATATAAATATTAACCATACCCCACCAACAATAACGACTTTATGACATGAGCGAAGTTCCGAAATTTTTGCTCCAAATATATGTCGTTGAATAACAGCATCCAAGAACAACAAATAATTTATTCTCGTCAAGAATCAGCGAAAGAAGATATTATATTGCCTTTGATGATAAGACTAAATCACCCACATCAGCTACTGCAATTCTTCTATCTCATACAGTCTAAACTTTAATACTCGAATACTCTGGAGGTCGGAAAAAATTAGTGGAAACAATACCACTCTAGAATAACGAAATTGCTCAATCACTTGAGATAACTAAACGAAAAAATAGAATTTAAAAAATTTCTCTAAACAGTAACAAATTATGTAAAACCTTTATTAGCTACTGAAACAGATTCATCGTTCGCATAATTCGGTCGAGATCCATTAATCAGCACATTTGTTGCACAATTTCGTTCGCGCCCGATCGCCAGTTAGCCTGTTTTCGATATCTATTTGAATTCGAAATTTCGATTACACGTGAGTTACTGCTGTTATCAAAAATTTGCCGGTTGCGTGATCCTACAAATTTAAAGCTGTTAGTGTGAGAAAAAACTTGTTAGCGTGAAAAAAAACTAAAATGCGAAAAATGTCCGAATAATAACCTCTCTCATTAAATTTGCCCTTTCGTGGTCGATCCATTCCTTGAATTTCGGCATCCTGCAATAATTAAACGTTTTGTAACGATTTTTCTTTACATAAATTTAATTTAAATCGGATCTTCCTAAAATGGCCACCAGTTATGATTTTGATGAAGGATAAAGCGAGGACGCAGAATCATTTATTGCTTACTGAAATGTGAATATTTCAGTAAACCGTAATAAACGTTTTAGAACATTAAAAGTTTTGCTTAGAGAGAAGATAAGGGTAAGGATAAAGAAGTTTTGAATAATCACATTTATAGATTATAAACATGAAAGGAAATAAATAAGGCTTATGATAATGGCTTATGATAATACAAAAGCATTCCACTAATCTATACAAAATCCAACTAACCTCCATGTTACTATGATATTGTTGTCCAGGAGACTCATCAGGGATGGAAACTTTCGTCTGCACAAAGTCATATAGAGTGGGAAGATTCGATGATCGATGAACCGGCGATAAATTTTTTCTGTCATCACGGATAAAACGCTGGTTCTATATTACCAAATTAGTACATTATTGATCAATATTTCTGAACCATTATACAAAAGTAATGAGAGGCATTGAACTCCAAAAAAACATCTATCCAATATTGGTGAGTAAAATGTTGAACCCCGTTCACTGCATACACCAAAAACTGATGTAGAATCGGGAAACTATCTAGTTCAAACTGAATATTATTTAATGACTTTGTCAAATTTTCGAAATAAAAACTATTAAAAGCAAGAAGAAACAAAACTGTATTTCCCATATCAGGTTTGCCTTTTGCCATCGGATCTTTCTTGTTGCTGTTGTTAGAAGAGGTCGATGCAGAATTCTCTAATGATTTCGGCTTTAACTGAAATAAAAACAACTTTACTTATGCTTCGTTCAAATCCCCTATGAAATTGAGGATGAACAAATTAAAAAACAAATGGTCTATTGACGATTATGACAACGTCATTCAGCGGGAATTTTCATTCGCGTTAATACCAGCATCAGTATCCGACTGAGAACGAAGGAACATGAATTCTTTAGTTTATTTCTTTTTTCATATTATATAAGTTACCTGACTTCGAGCAAATTTCTTTATAGCATTATTTTCGACAACCTGCTCAATTTGAGCTTTTCTAGCAGCATTGAAATCATCACTACGCTCATCAGTCATTCTTTTGTTTAATCCATTGATTATATCATTGGCTCGAAACATCTTATTATTGGCATTAACCGGAAGAGATGACTGTGACAATCGCTGAAGAAAAAGGGCTGGAGTTCGAAAAATCACGAACCTAAGATTGTAAAATTATGAAATGAAGGCAAAAATGTAAAAAAAAGGAGAATAAGTTCCACATGGCTAGGTTTTAAATGTCCGTTACATCCCATACTTTTCACAACTCAAGTCAGAGAATACAGGTAAATAGCTATGCTATTCACACTTACAAAAGACTGATTTCTTTTTTGTGATTGCACTATATAGGCCAGATAGTTGCTGAAAATTTGCAAAACAATAATTTCGAACAATTAACAATTTTTCACCTGTTTGGAAAATTGAACCCATTTCGGTGCATTGCTTTCAGTGGTTCGTACTAGTTTCTGTCGCCAGTTCTGAGAAAATTTAACTATTTTTATAAATTTATGAATTGACAGAAAATTTTACAATGCAAAAATTTATTTCAAACATTTTTACTGCTGCATGAGAAAAATATAAGAAACCCTTTCCATATTCCATTTCTCGACCATCTTTTCAACATGGCCACCTAATACTTGACAGTTAGTTCCATTGATTAGCAACATTCCATTTTCGATTGGAATTTTCCCAATCAAACAAACTTTTGTGCCCGGTGGCGTTTCTGCGCTGAAAATTTTAATAGGAAAAAAGGGGAAAAAAATCACTAGAAAAAGGAGATAAAACAAAACAAGAACAATCAATTTTTGAGAGATTCGATCTTTCGTTACATAAGTTCTTGCTGTCTGTTTTAAGGACAATGAATTACGCTAATATCTAAGCATCAATCTCCCAAATATCGAAACGAATTCAGAATAGATATAATAAAATCCCGCATCAGATTACAATATTTCAGAGAGCGTACTTCAACTTTGGTATAGGCTGAAACAGCAATGCATGAATGCTGGAAAAACCATCACTTAGTTTAATCTTGATAAGACCATCCGTATGCGTTACTTCACTATACTTTGAATATGAAACATTGCGTTGCTTTACAATTTGAACGACTAGAGGTCCCTGAAGAGAACATGATAATTTTGCGCATATAATATGAGATTCTCGTATAATATGAGATTCTGAATTTATTCATAATATTCACCATAATTATTAAATGGTTAGGTTGAGAAGATCTTCTGGTCCTTACTGGATTACTTTTAACAATGACTAAGTATCAAAGTACGAAGATGTATTTCCAGCACACCATATAGTCGACCAACCCTTGAGTTTTCAGTTATCTCGCTAACCATCAATACTGAAATCTACCTACTGCTGATCTTTTACCAATAAAAACGTCACCAGCCAATACTGTAATTATACTAACGTTGGCTGGTGACACACTGGGATGAAAGTAAAATGAGAGTTTACTGAGAATTTACTGTGCAATGTAAAATATAAGCTGTAATCGTGCGTTCATCGTGTTCATGAACGAAGTGTGGAAAAAAATTTTGCGAAACTTTGAAAAAATATTGAAGAAAACTGAAATAGCAAAATAATACAAGTATCAAGTAGGCCACACATTCATATAAACTTAACGTACCTTGAATTCACCTAATTGTTTGTCGATACGGTCTGAAAGCAACGGGAAAGCATATTCACGTATATCAGCCTGAAATTTTGCTTTTCGATGATATCATCCAAAACTTTTATATTATATTAGTAAACCATTCATTAGTTAGAATTAACTAGAAAGTGAAGCTTAAAATAAGCATTTAATTAACAATTGGCATTTATTGTAGTGTGCTAGGTGAAGCGAATTTAAGAATAACTACGTATTTGTAATAATTCTTTTAGCAAGAAAAAATATAAATAGAAAGAATACGAAAAATGTCACTTATACTTCTATACCTAGGAGATGAAATTTCCAAAATGGTTAAAAGTCCATTCGAAATGAGGAATCTCCTGGTTAATATTGCTCAAATTATAACCACATGAACCTATTATAATAGTTTGACATGTGGGATATGTAAATGAGCGTAATTTCATCTAAAAGGAAAGGAATGGATATCTGGATAGGTAATTACCACTTGAACTAACATGAAATAATAACTGCAAACTAAACTTAAAAAATTAATTAAAATGTGCAAATTTCACAAGTACTAGCTAAAAAAAAAGAAAAAAAAAGACGCAAAATTGTTCGCGAATTAATTAGTAACTGTATAGGTGTAACAATATCAAATATATTACATATACCTTCTTTCTTATAAGATATATTCATCAGATTAATACCTTTTGCATTATATTTTATGTTATATATTATATTATATCACAATTTTTTAATTCCTTTCTCTTTCATTAAGCAACTTTAAAACTATTGGGGAATTAATTAGTATTTGAAAAAAAAAAAGGATATATGAGATGAGAGATGAATGTAAATTAAAAAAGCAAGCTTACATCAAGAAGTTGTTTCTTCAACTGATTAACATCCTGTATTCGTGAAATTGGTTCACCAATAAAATCACTCAATTGTTTTCCTTTAATTGGCCATCCCTCACATACCAAAAGTTCTTCCAATGCATCACCGCTCATCGATTACTAAATGTTACATATTTCGATTACATCAAAATACAACAACCATACAAGTGGAAATTCCCATTTAAATACATATAAATAAAAAGTTACCAAATACGCTCGCATAGAAAATAAAAAGTTTGGTTAAAATCTGAATTACTAGATATATAATTAAATTAAATACTTTTTTAAGTGAATATTCCTAACATATTTCAAATATGGCAACATATAACTTTAATAATAATAATAATAATCATAATAATAGCAGTAATAATGATATTCACAAAACGGATAATACAATTAATGTAAATTATACTTTACCGGATTCACTGATTTTTGACATGCATTATAGGAGTGATATTATGGATAATAATCCGATTAGCTATGATTTAATTTATGTTAACAAATAAATACAGATGAAATAGTGTAAGAATAAAAAATACCGGTAGACCAATTTAAAACTTTTGCAAAAATCCGTTACAGTTTTTGTATATGAATCTATAAAAAGAAAAAAAGCACAATTATTGTATGCATAATTTTTTCTTGCATGAATAAAACGGAAAAGATGTGATGAAATAAGGAATTATCAAAAATTCAGGATGATAACAATTCAGGAAATTTAAATTCGAAAATAACATGGGAAGTATATAAAATATAACACTGATATAAGAGAAGCACAACACCAACCGTTTTTTGAAATACTAATAAGATGAAATTAAAATATAAGTCATGAAATCATATATTATATTTAAAAATATGCCCAATCAATTACTGCCATAACCGGACCGGAACAGAATATTGAATAATCGAGTGAATTGAAAGCACGGAACGGAAAGGAAACAATTTTCACAGCTATTCATTTCGTTAGTAATGCTGTAATGTTTTGTTTTGAAAATTCAACAAATTAACGAAATATGCAAAAAATCATTAATAGTATACCGAAATTAAATTTCGGTTCCAAATTAATTTGTCCCGAATTGAATAACTATGGGAAAGTCGCACTGAATTGATTGTTTTGATCCGGTTCAATTTACCGGAAAAATATTGGCATCAATAATTTATCCTGTTAAATAACATTTTTCGCATCCTGAACATGAACCTACCACAGATAACTATTTCCCTGATCCGGTTGATTATGAATTACTCTATGATCATTGTACGTAGCATTATTGTTTACAGACTTTCATTCATATCCTTTTGCCTGTAACAGTTAGATTTTATCAAATTTTACCAGACGAATTAATTTTTTACTCTCATTCCCTTCTTGCATTCATCATCAGTAACATGCTATTTCGTCTTTTTTTTTCATTCTTTGTTGTTTCTTTACATTTCGTACTATTTTAAGTAATAGCTTATTTACTGCTCCGCTAATTCTCAATGTTCAAACTTATCGCTACTTTTAACCATTCCCTAAATCTAACTGGGATAATAGTCGGAATGAATTGAGACTTTCCGGAATGAGCAATGTTATTCCATGGTCATACGGTTAGAATTTCCGGAATAGGTTAATTCATGTCCAGATAATGGTAAAGAGTTTAATGCTTGAATAGTATGGGTTTCATGAACGATTTTCACACATGGGCCATGCCATGGTGATTTACTGGATTTATTCTTTAGTGATCGGAATTGTAAATTACATTTATAGATAGTTTTCATATATGGCTAGACCGTTATATGATTTACGTTGAACTGAATTAAGTCTTATATTTGAAGACTAGTTATGTACTTGAAATCTGTTCAACTGTCAATGAATTTATCATCTGTTTTTATGTTACATATATCATTTTAGGATGAAGGCGGATGCAAAAAAGAAATTGGTGAAAAAAGCAACAAAACTAATCAATACTGAAAATGCTATTGATGGTACCAAACGTTTTGAAAATATTTCAAGGTTATTTTTCCATACTTTTTTTCTTCTGTTCAATAAATTAACATTAGTTATTTTCGGATGTTTTTCTTTTTCTTAATGGATAATTTGGCATAAATGATCCTTTTTTTCGGAATGAATTTTAAAAAGTCTTGAAGATACAAAAGTTTGACTTACTCTTATTCTTGATTTATTTTTAATGGAAATGATGGAATATTTTACTTCCATTTGGCATCATTTGCTATTTTTTCTTCTGCTAACTAATTAGTTGATTAGTTATTTTTCAGTGAAAAGGTTCATTTTGCCTTTTCATGGGGCACACATTTGAGTGACGAGGAATTTGAATGGGTTTTCCAGTTGTTCGTAATTAATATGCGTACAATGTATCAGATCTCTCAATGGGGCTATGATGAAGTAAGCAAAAAGCAAGAACTTCGGGCAACTACATCAAGGTATTTATTTTTAGGATGCTATCTATAGGAAAATTTATGAAATCAAAAAATATAACTTTATAAAAATTGAATGAAAGAGATGGGTTGATTGTTTCCGGATCATATGTTATTGCTTTATTATTGCTTAATTGGCTTAAACTGATTACCGTATTGATCAACGTAGCATTCTTATATTTTGGAAAAATAATATGAAACGTATTGAACTTGCATGGGATAAAACTTATTATCATCGTTAACTTTGTCATTCTATATTACCGTCTTAAATTTTATCATTTTTTATTCATTAGTAAACAAAATCTCAGATGGAAGTACTGTTTACAGATATATCATTGCGAAGAATGAAGATAAAAAACCGATCGCTTATTTGCACTATCGTTTTGATATTGATTTCGATTCAGCTGTATTATATTGGTTAGTCAATGTTTAACGTTCGTTACAAGAATGATTAAATATATCACATACCATTATATCACATACTAATTCCAGTATTACTAATACTTTTTTGTTATGTTACGATTAGGTGAGGTGAAGTGAGGTAGTAATGTTATCAATAGAGAGATAACGGTAATGCAATTGATAATGAACGATATTGAAAGTTTTATGTAAGCTCAAACATTATTGCCCCTTATTATTCAGCTGATTCTCTAAGCTAAATTTATGGCTTAGTTATATTGTTAACTTTGGAAATTCACCGCTAGGCGTACTAAGAAGCAGGTTGGGATGTCGTATATGTCAGTTACTGTGCCTGCGATCTTAACTTTTCAAAAATTAAATTCAAAAGTCCTTTTCTATTATTTGTGATGGAACTTTCTGTTGTATCCGGAACCTTTTTATTTCAGTTATGAAATACAGGTAGAGGACAAATATCAGGTTAAAGGTATTGGATCGGCTCTCTTATCTATTGCCGAATGTCTTGGAAAGAAGTAATTTTCATCATTTTATGTGGTCCAACACTTTCTCTTTTTTTACACGATGAGAAGCGGAAAGAAAGCAAGGGGTGTAGTGTATCAGTGAACACTGATACTAAAAGTTGGATGTGTTTGTGCTGGATTCAAAATTATGGAAATTCCAAAAAACTTCAGAGAGTTTTCGTAATTAAATTTTTGTTAGCATTGTAATAGGTTTTTTGCACTCAAGCTCCTCAGTAGATCATTAGTTCTCAGAGCTTGTCAATTCTTACATAATGAAGATGGCAATATTTTGGTGGCAGATACCTGCCTGGAATAAGTGGTAGTAACCCTTAGCCTTTTAATAGCATTAAAAGCAAGTTACCGAACACCACATGTTTTTGGATGGCATCTGATTTGATTTTCAGTTATGTTTTATCGTCTTATGCCATTCTAAGTTGGTGAACTAGTATTAACTTTAGCCTGGGCAATTAGTTATCAAATTTAAGTTTTGCAATAATAGATGGTAATGAAAATTATATCCTGGTTATCTAGAATGCCGGATAATTACAGGATGTCAATGGACAAATTGATGGCTACAGTGTTCGCATTTAATGGGAATTCGCTTGCATTCTTTCACAAGAATGGCTTTAGTGTTGATTCATCATGTCCGGACGCTGGTGATTACCTGATTTTATCAAAGCCGTTATCTGATTGACGATCTCAACCGATGTAGTTATAATTTCACTTAAAAAAAATCATTTATTTCATATTTTATGTGTACATAATCCTTGTTCTTGTTTTATTATAAACATAATTGACTGTCAGTTGGAAGGAAAGAACAGATTCCCACAAATTTAATACAAGTTTAACATTTTGTTACAATTTAGATAAAAAAGCAGTAATTTTGAGCCCTAATTATAGAGCACCTGAAAAAAAGGTACTTCTATCTATGTATAAATATACGTTGAAAATGCACAACTATTCAATGAATTGCTAAAATATAGTATGTACACATAGAAATGGCATAACTGTGCAATCAGTTATTGAGAAAAAAAAATATATATATATAAAATATTAGATAATCGTAAGATTGTCCTCTTCCGATTCCTTGTTCCAAAAATAAATACTGATAGCGAAAACAAAAGGTAGAGAAGTTCCTGGTAGAAATGACAGCTGACCTTCTAATAACAATGTTTAAAATGGGTTCAAGATTTACTAACATAGTATGCAAGTATAAAGATTGAGTTGTCAGATATTTAGACGGATTAAATTAAGTTATTATATTTCATTCATTGGTGAGATCGTACCCTGTTTAGACTAAGTTTTAGTGCCAGTATTTAATGCTTTTTGAACTGTGAAATTTATTGTATTCAGTGAGGTTTGGATATGTTCAAGTCATTTTTTTTAATGTTTGCTCATGTTTTTATTTTGTTTTGAATGCATGAATATTGTTTATCTTTGTTCCTAATAGTAAATTCAAATAACAATAGTGTTTCTGCTTGTCTATCTTTTTCCCTATCTTCAATTTAACTAGAATCCGATGCAAAATTACTACTTAGGAATTAATCCATCTGAAATATCAATTTATATGAGATTCACAAATATGACAAAATGCAAAACAGTTTAATTTTGCTTATTAAAAAATTATTTAGCACCTAATGCTTTCCCTTCTTTATAATCATTTTTGCTGGTCTCTTCAGATTGTCGAAATATTTGAGGATTGGCATACATTTAAAAACATACCAAAAAAGAAAAAAAGAAAAAGTCCTATCTATCCAATAAAGGAAACATCAACATCGTAAGTGCTGATTACAACTTGAGAGATTATTAACTGATATAAGATAACATCATTATATTACTATGTCATTAAACTAAAGATACGGTAGACAATATGGTGGTTTTTATAATGTATTGCAAAATTTTTGAATTTTAATTCTGCGATGCATTCTGTCACATTGCATACAAACATACTGAATACACATCGACATACACACACACACACACACACACACACACACACACACACACACACACACACACACACACACACACACACACACAC